GTGGTATATAGACGCTTAGGCAAACATCATATTGTTATTGCTGATATTGCCAAGTTTCCTCTTTCTCTGTACAAAAAGGAGGTGGTGGCAGTGTGAAGGGTTAATTGCGGAATTAACCTGACCCAGTAACAATCGCTTCCAGGCTGCAAGTACACAGATTGTGGTCCATTAGCTGGAAAATCTTTGTGCAGGGTGCAGCTGGGCATTGCATTGTTACGCACGTGACAGCGCGGTTTTAGGATTGGCTAGTCCTTCGGTCACAAGTTTGGTGAGAAGGGCTGGGGTCGACGCCCCAATCGTCACAATGTCCATCGCATGAAACGCGTTTACCATTTGCTGTTCTGGCACGGTCTGATGTTTTTTATGATTCTATGAAATTTGAATAAAGGATTCAAGGAAGTGCAGTAAATTCCAGATATATTCCTTTCACTCTCATCCCCCTTGTACTTGTCTCAGTTAAGTGACATTTCTGTCTGCTTCTTCATTCCTCTTACCAGCATGAGTCACTTCTGATAAATTTTCTTGACACCAAAATATATAAAGGTGACAGAGGACAACAGAGCAGATCGACAGCCTCAGCTGTGTAATTTCAAATATCCATCCCCTTTTCTCTGAAATCTCACACAAGCTTTATAAATTCAGCACTTTGAACGACTGTAGAGAAGGAAGGGCTACAGATAAACAGGAGGATTGGTTTAATCTCTTTATCCCCTGAGGCCAGTCACTTCACTTGGTATATGTAAGAGCTGATTCACAAATGTGCGGTGCGGATTTGTGGTTCAGGTTTAGGGCCGGTTCAGGACAGGCTTTTGTGACAACTGTGGATTGTACTGTTCATAGGCTTATGTCAGGTTTGGATGAGGTTTTGCAAGGCTCAGGACAGCATTCTGTGCAAGGAGAGGAGGTGCTGACGTAGAGGAGGGGGAAGAGAAGCAAACCGTGCTTAAACCTGATCCTGAAGTGAAATCCTGTTCACAACTCACGACATATGCAGTTTTAGAAACAGTTCCCATAGAAGTCAATAGCCTGTAGTTCGCACCTGAACTGGACCGCACTGCTCAGAAGTCCGACATGACTCTTTCAAACCACATTGAATCCGCACCGCTCCTGCACTGGTCATATGTGAACAGGCACCATGGGAAGCAATGTTATTTCACATGTCATGTGCATTGGATGCGGTTCAAAGCGCATCCAAACCGGACATGTGACCCAGCCCTGAGGCTGGGTTCACGCTGATGCGGTGTGGAAATTACACCGGTTTCTGTGCAAATTCCGCACCCAGTTCATGTGAACCGCTGCGGGTGTGTATGTTAACACCCTGTAAATCGGTTCAAAGAATGCGGTGCAATGTGCAGAATCGGATCGCATGGGTGTGAATACGAGTCTAGTGCGGACAAACAAAAACCCGACAACGTCAATTGGATGACAAAATGCGTCGGATGGAACTTCGGCGCATGACGTCATCACTTTTTTTGGAGGGACGGCGGCCATTTTCCTGGTTGGAAACTTGATTCAAATGCTGGTAACCATCCAATACAATGTACGAGTAACTTTTAATAAAACAGGGTGACTTTATTATCTAACTACTACACTATGAGTGGTCTTCTTTTATTACTTATCTAAATAGTGGATGGGAGTCTTCTTTTAGGACCTGTTTAGATCTGTGAGAGGAGGGAGGATTGAAATCTATTCTGATGAGGATTGCTGGTTCCATGATCTGCACATATTCATCTCCCATCTGAGTTGCCTATATTGACCGGCGTGTTTCGGTCAGAATTTCTGGTAAGGGGCTGAACCATTCGTGTGTGCTGGTGATGGTGGATCGAGGGAACTGCATTTGGGACTTTTTAAAACTGGAATTTTTTGATTAATTGGACTTTATATATTTTTTTATGTTTTTGATTAGCGCTGCATTTTTTAATTTATTTTCTATTAAAATATAAATATTTTAAAATGATAAAATTGTATATCACCTGATGCACAAGCTGCTTTTCTCCGATTTTCTCATGTTTTGTAGTCACATGATTAGTGTATTTACCCAAGCGCAGGTTAATTGTTTTTTTATCTGGTTAGGAGAAGATTCCGACCTGAACTTGATGTGAACTGCTGAACGATTGTATCAATGAGCTGTGAAACCTGAGCTTCAATCTGAACTGCACATATGTGAATCAGCTCTTATGCAGGCCCTAGACTGGTAGTTTTATCGGCCGAATTTTCGCCCGCACAAAAAAAAAAAAAAAAAAAAAAAAAAAAAAAAAAAAAAAAAATCGGCCAATATATACGCCGTTAGTGGGGCCAGCCCGTCGGCCGTTTTTCACAGATCTCCTCATTTATTTTTATCGGTCAACGAAAAACAGCAGTTTTTCAGGGGCCAGGGGTGGACTGACCATTTGGAAACTCTGGCACTGCCCGAGGGCCCGGAGTCAGCAGGGGGCCCCATGAGATGCCCCTGGTACCTTTTTCCATAGGCTTTTTTGAGTTTGGGCAAGGACACAGGAGCCCCATGATCCCCTATTGCCTGGGGGCCCCTTGAATTGTCAGTCCGCCTCTGTCGTGGACATTGGTGGCAGCACCGACAACGGGGCCGACCGATTTTTCATTTATCGGCCAAAAATTTGGCTGATAAACAGCCCGTCTATGGCCTGCCTTACGCTCAAGTTTAATCTATTTTTATTTTGCCTTCTCCGGTTCCTTCCTCACCAATATTCGAATTACATTTTTCAATAAAACCTTTCCATTTTTCTTTCAAACTGTATTTGACACAGTGATATCACTGGGCCTCTGTGCTTCTCTGTGCAATGCAGGCAAATTCTAAGTGATGGGGGCGGCAGGGTGTTTCCTAAAAACATCACAGAACATTTGAGATTCAGGCACTTTCACCTGAAACACTGCAAACATCTAGATTTCTTTTTTTTCCCCCATAATAGCCACTGATTTTACAAGATACTGGACATTCATTCACCATTCCTGTGCTTTCAACATGATTTATCCTCTTCAAACATTTTCCAACCAGCTTAAAGCTGCACTCCAGGAATTCAGCTACTCTAAAACCTGATGGCTTACCATGGGTCCAATTTGATGCATGTCCCGTTGACTTCTCGTTCACAACTGACAGTTTTCCTGAACTCAGGGAGTACAGCTATCACTATACTCTTGGCGCTCTAGGAGGAGACCCGTTGTACTCTCGCACAGCATCTCTGCCTACCCCTCCCCTCTGTTGGTCATTCACAGAAGGCTTTGAATTTTGTAAATGGGTTCACATATTACAAAGCACACTATGATTGGTCGACTGAACTGAGACCAGAATGCTGCGCTGGTGCAGCATAAAATGTAAACGGTAAACTAAAGAGTAATCCAGCAGATTTCACAAAGTGGTTGAATTTCTGGACTTCAGCTTGTGTATGCAAACCCACTAGAAGTACTTTTTGCATATGAGCATTAAATAAAACCCTAACAAAAACTGTCCATAAATCATAAATTCACTAAGCTCAAATAATTTTTTTGAACCCCAATTTGTGGTCAGGTGATGTAGCTCATGCACCTCATTGTCCGATAGTGGGGGAGAGAATGGTTTCAGCATTTCACAAGGCTCAGAGCTTGAGTGTTACATGGAAGAACACATCCTCAGCATCCCTTTAGATGTGCATGCTTTTCACTGCTGGCCACTGGGTGCTGTAGGCTTTAGCTGTGCAATCTGCTGACCAGTTTCTGGATTACACTATCACGGGGCTTGACATTTCCACTCACCTGCTCGCCAATGGCAAGTGGAAATTATGGTGGGGGCGAGTGTGCCCCCCAGGGCCATCTTGCTGAGCAGGCTCGGAGCTCAGGCAGGATCTGTCATTGGCACTGGGAGCCGTCAGACTGCTCAATGGCTGTGCGCAGTGAAATCAAAGCAAGGAGTGTGTGCTGTGCCCGGATCTGTGAGTGAACAATGAAGTACTGCAACTTTTTATAAGGGGGGGGGGGGGGGAAGTGTACGTGTACATGTGTGTGTGTTTGTGTGTATGCATGTAAAATTGTACATGAGTCTGTACATGTGTGTATCTGTACATGTGTGTGTGCGCATGCACGTGTGTGTGTGTATGTACGCACGTGTGTGTATACATGTGCCTGTGTGTATGTGCACGTGTATTTCTGTGTATGTACATGTATCTGTGTGTGTGTATGCATGTCAGTACGTGCCTGTGTGTATACATGTGTGTGTGTGTGTGTGTGTGTGTGTCTCTGTGTTTGTTGGTGGCAAGTAACTCTAAGGCCTGGCTAGTAGCTCAGGACTTGAAATTTTAAGCCCTGCTCTATCAGACCTGTTAATGTCTGCAATTTCCAGTTGCAGTTTAGGAAGTCCAGCAGTAAGAAGCATATCTAAAGGGATGCTGTGGATGTGTTCTTTCATATAATACTTGGTCTCAGAGCAGAGCACGGCTTCCTCCCAGGGGAGGACTGGAGCATGTGCAGTGAGAGTAGAAACGCTGAAGATGGAGAGGACGGCTGGAATAGAGTTGCAACTCTGAATAAGTAAAAGGAACATACAGGAAAAACTGGGTATTTACAATCCAAGAATACAGTAATGAAAGAAATGTTGAGTACACAGTAAGAGAAATTACACAATGGAAAAAAGGTTTTGGGATTGCTGAGATTTTAATACTAGCAAATGTTGCCAGTGAATTTGTAAATTCATAAAACCCCATTAGTGTATTATTTTTTTTTTTTTATCTCCTACTAATAACTCAAATGCCAGCTTTAGCTGGGTTCACTATATAATGGAAATTCGACTTCTGAAAAATAAAAAAACAGCCAGAAAAAAGAAAAAAAAAAAAAAAAAAAAAAAAAAAAAGAGCCATAAGCACCGGACAACGCACAGAACAGCTAAATTCATCATACAGGTTTATTTGAATACTTAAATACCATTTATCCAGCTATAAAAGCAGCAGTAGGACATCATAAATTAAACAGGCCATTGGAAGAGCAGTCCATGAACCCAATGTGGGGTGACGTGTGAACAGGGAGCGGGCAACATGCTTACCGCTGCACACAGAGGTGCTGACGTTGTACAGAAGAGGATAAAGCTGCAGGCACCGGATCATCTGTAAGCTGCCCTCACACTCCATACACGGCTTGTGAAGATCGAGAGCTGTGCGGAAGACTTGAAGTGCGCCTGTCAGGTTCTTAAGTGAGAGGTAGGCATTTCCCAGGCTCAGCAATGTTAACGGCTGTGCAAAAATTGGAAACAAAAGTAAAAAAACACAAGAAAAAAAAAAAAAAAACACCAAGCCATTCAAAGTGAAACTACGGCCAGGCTATGGACATTTAGACTGGATTCACATTGATGCCTTGTGGCAACATGCATTTCTGCACTTTGGTGCCATTCATCCTGGATGAACTGAAGGCACCTTGCCAATAGATGTGTGTTGCAGCACAGCATAACCTACAATGCAGTGTGCTGCTAAAAATGCTACATGCACATTTTTTGGTCTGTTAGGTTGCCAGTTCAAATGAATCGGCTGTCTTAACCTCCCTAGCGGTATTACCGAGTGTAGCTCGGGGTTAAATGTCTGTACCAAAATCGGTAACCCCCGAGCTACACTCGGGCTTACTATGTGGTGCTGCATAGGAAGTCCCTGCAGCACTTACCTTGTCCTTCGCTCCCGGGATGCGTCCCCTGCAGAGTCCCCGGCCATCTCCTCCGGCCGATGCCGGCTTCTGTGTTCCGGTCCCTGTGACGTTGGGACGTACGGGCGCCGCCGCCGGGAAATTTGAAAATGTTAAAAAAATGTCATTTTTTTTCCAAACAAATTTTACATAGCAAAACATTGCTGTTTCAACCCATTTCACATACATTTTGTCCCGAGTGCTTTGTCCGGCGCCCTGCCTGCATTTTTACTGTTCTTTCTGCCTGGAAACTGAGAAACGTCCATGGCGTCCAAAAAGCGTCCCTTTAGTCAAAAGCGGTTTTAGACCGGCTAGAGAACAGCGATAGTAAATCAGAACCACTTGCAGAATTGAGTGATAATGATTCGTGGGGGAAATTTCTCATCAGACACTGAAAACGATTCTGCGACTTTGCTCAGCGATGTGCGAACTTGGCGCTATATTTCAAATTTCAGTGTTTTTGATTTGATTATATTATCATCCCTGGGATGTTTACTAGACTCTTGTTCAGACAGATTTCAGTGAGTTATTCCTAAAAATTACAGCCTACAATAAAAAAAAACTACATATTTCCATGCAAAATAATGGTACCGCTTTCAGCACCAAAAATCTGAAATAATCATACCGCCAGGGAGGTTAAACACAAAAGGGTTGATGCAGCCTCCCTAGTGGTCTGATTATGTCAGTATTTCTGTGCTCAAAGCAGTACATTTTTTGCATGGAAATTTATTTTTTTTTTTTTTATTGTAGGCCTGTAATTTTTAGGAATAACTCACTGAAATCTGTCCGAACAAGAGTCTAGTAAACATCCCGGGTATGTTAACATTTGAAACCGGAAATCATAAAATTATAATTTAATAAATAATAAATTTAATTCAATAATAGAATCAAACCAAAAAACACTGAAATTTGAAATACAGCGCCAAGTTCGCACATTGCTGAGCAAAGTCGCAAAATCGCTTTCAGTGTCTGAAAGCGACTATTGACTATTAGCTAGCTTGACTCCCTCTGTGTGAGTGTAGTACCCCCCCCCCCCCCCCCCTTTTGCTGTATCTTATCTGTAGCCTTTTTTTTTTTTCCATCCCTTCTAACATTCTGCTTAAACTTTGTGATTTGTAATAGTACTGCTTGGACTTTGAAGTAGGGGACATACCCCGAAAGCTTGTCCTCAAAATTGTATGTTAGTGCAAATAAAAAAAGTATCACGGACAGTACTCAATTGTTAGTGTCTGATGAGGAATTTCCCCCACGAATCATTATCACTCAATTCTGCAAGTGGTTCTGATTTACTATCGCTGTTCTCTAGCCGGTCTAAAACCGATTTTGACCTAAAGGGACGCTTTTTGGACGCCATGGACGTTTCTCAGTTTCCAGGCAGAAAGAACAGTAAAAATGCAGGCAGGGCGCCAGACAAAGCACTCGGGACAAAATGTATGTGAAATGGTTTGATACAGGAATGTTATATTATGTGATTTTAGTGAATGTCACTTTTACAACTTTCAAATTTCCCGCCAGTTCCGTCCCCCGTACGTCCCGACGTCGCAGGGAACATAACCCGGAAGACAGATGCCGGCATCGGCCGGAGGACATTGCCGGGGACACTGCAGGAGAGACATCGCGGGAGCGCAGGACAAGGTAAGTGCAGAAGAGATCCCGGAGCAACGCTGCAGTGTATTCCCGAGTGTAGCTCGGGGTTACCGCTTGTGGGGCTGAAACTTTACACTCAGGAATAATCCCCAGGGAGGTTAATAAAGGAAAATAGACTGTGCGCTACAAGTTCAGTTGCTCCGGAGCGTAGTAAATCAGGAGAAGCTCTGCTGACTTCCATCCACCAATCATGTGCAAAAATGGTTTTTCCGTGCATGCAATTGGGTATTCTTTGTAAACGAAACTTCGCATCATTTACTAAGCTCTGGAGCAACTGCACTTTGCAAAGCGCATAGTCTATTTGCCTTCAGTAAAATCGACCCCAATGTGTGGCAAGTGCACAGCAAAGATGTAAGTGGGCCCTAAAATAGAAGCATTTTCTTACACAGCAATATAAACAGTCACCTACTGGGGAGCTCAGCCTTCACTTCCTGTCCTAAAGACAAAACAGATGAGAGGAAAAAGTATTCCTACATCCCGGGGTGTCCATTGGATGGTTCCCCCCCTCTATTACTGTTTTGGTAACAACTCAATATATTAGAGATGAAGAATCTCCCTAGTTGAGAGTGGTTCCTATGAGGCTAGAAGACCAGAGCAGCCCAAGTACTGTGTCCCTTTGCCCTGATGCTACATCTACGTGTTTTTTTTTTTTTATGTTTTTTTTTATAAATGTATTTTTTTAGGTTTTGCAATAAGCACAGCAGTACAAAACCAGGTACTGGACAGCTGGACTTTTTTTAACGCTTTTCTTTGTCATATTATTCTGTACTTATGAATCCCTGTCAGGGCTCATTTACAGCCATGAGAATAGCTGTTCTTTTAACTACAGCACTTTGTCAATAACCCTAAGCAAAAGCTGCAATGTACACCCAGCACATCAGTGCATTTCCCATGGAATCATGGGAAATAATTCATATTTCCTCCTTGGAAATACAGTCAGGTCCATAAATATTGGGACATTGACACAATTCTAACATTTTTGGCTCTATACACCACCACAATGGATTTGAAATGAAATGAACAAGATGTGCTTTAACTGCAGACTGTCAGCTTTAATTTGAGGGTGTTTACATCCAAATCAGGTGAACGGTGTAGGAATTACAACAGTTTGCATATGTGCCTCCCACTTGTTAAGGGAACAAAAGTAATGGGACAGAAAAATCATCATAAATTAAACTTTCACTTTTTAATACTTGGTTGCAAATCCTTTGCAGTCAATTACAGCCTGAAGTCTGGAACGCATAGACATCCCCAGTCGCTGGGTTTCATCTTTGGTGATGCTCTGCCAGGCCTCTACTGCAACTGTCTTCAGTTCCTGCTTGTTCTTGGGGCATTTTCCCTTCAGTTTTGTCTTCAGCAAGTGAAATGCATGCTCAATCGGATTCAGGTCAGGTGATTGACTTGGCCATTGCATAACATTCCACTTCTTTCCCTTAAAAACTCTTTGGTTGCTTTTGCAGTCTGCTTTGGGTCATTGTCCATCTGCACTGTGAAGCGGCGTCCAATGAGTTCTGAAGCATTTGGCTGAATATGAGTAGATAATATTGCCCGAAACACTTCAGAATTCATCCTGCTGCTTTTGTCAGCAGTCACATCATCAATAAATACAAGAGAACCAGTTCCATTGGCAGCCATACATGCCCACGCCATGACACTACCACCACCATGCTTCACTGATGAGGTGGTATGCTTAGGATCATGAGCAGTTCCTTCTCCATACTCTTCTCTTCCCATCACTCTGGTACAAGTTGATGTCGGTCTCATCTGTCCATAGGATGTTGTTCCAGAACTGTGAAGGCTTTTTTACATGTCGTTTGGCAAACTCTAATCTGGCCTTCCTGTTTTTGAGGCTCACCAATGGTTTCCATCTTGTGGTGAACCCTCTGTATTCACTCTGGTGAAGTCTTCTCTTGATTGGTGACTTTGACACACATACACCTACCTTCTGGAGAGTGTTCTTGATCTGGCCAGCTGTTGTGAAGGGTGTTTTCTTCACCAGGGAAAGAATTCTTCGGTCATCCACCACAGTTTTCTGTGGTTTTCCAGGTCTTTTGGTGTTGCTGAGCTCACCGGTGCGTTCCTTCTTTTTAAGAATGTTCCAAACAGTTGTTTTGGCCACGCCTAATGTTTTTGCTATCTCTCTGATGGGTTTGTTTTTTCAGCCTAATGATGGCTTCACTGATAGTGACAGCTCTTTGGATCTCATCTTGAGAGTTGACGGCAACAGATTCTAAATGCAAATAGCACACTTGAAATGAACTCTGGACCTTTTATCTGCTCATTGTAATTGGGATAATGAGGGAATAACACACCTGGCCATGGAACAGCTGAGAAGCCAATTGCCCCATTACTTTTGGTCCCTTAACAAGTGGGAGGCACATATGCAAACTGTTGTAATTCCTACACCGTTCACCTGATTTGGATGTAAATACCCTCAAATTAAAGCTGACAGTCTGCAGTTAAAGCACATCTTGTTTGTTTCATTTCAAATCCATTGTGGTGGTGTATAGAGCCAAAAATGTTAGAATTGTGTCGATGTCCCAATATTTATGGACCTGACTGTACATAAGACGTGATGTGAGCCGCTTGCTGACATCCGTGTCCCGGCACACGTGCACAGTAAACTATGCAGAAGCAGCCAACAATGTCATACAAAATAGAATAAAACCAATGCAGTATTTGCCAAAACATAAAAGGGCTTCTATTGTCAATGAGCAAATGAGTTAAGGGTCAAAAAGTGGGCTTGATCTTGGAATACAACTTTAAGTCCCCGTGGTCACATCGGTGCGACCTATCATGTGATTTGTGTTTCAAATTGCATGACAAGTCATACCCTATTGTCCGCAATCGAAGCGGTGACATCGGTGCGATTCCGACTCCGTCAGAGTTGCACTGATTTTGAAAGTATTTAATACATTACTGTGTGCAAGTTCAGGTGTGACTTGCATAGACATCTGTGTATAAAGTCGCACAGACGTCTTCCAAGTCGCACCTAAAGTCGAACTGACATCCAACTTTGAAATCATGCGACTTCACTTGAGTTTGCACAAATTTCAAAGTCAGATTTAGTGTGCCTGGGGTGTAAAGGGGTGTTTTATAATCCCGTAGTGATAAAAAAAAAACCACACAACAATGATGAAGGGGCAAGCAGCTCTATTGAGTTGGGGGATTAAAAAAAAAAAAAAAAAGTGCTCACCTCTGAGTGGTCTATAGTGATTGCTTGAAGAAGTAAATTACTGGCATCCAGATGAAGCCCGTGATGCATTAGCAGGTTGGCCAGATTCACCAGTGGGATATGCTGCTGCTGAGATGGTGCTAGGCTCAATGCTCTGCGCAGGCAAGCCATTGCCTGGGTACAGTTTCCTACAGATCGCCAGTACACAGCCGCCTCATTCAGCACGGACCATGCCAGTCCCGATGGCTAATAAAGAAAAACAATGGATTAAGGGCATATCCATTTTACATCTGAAAGTCCATAGAGAAAGTTTACAGGATAGAGAATTAAAGAAAATCTCTCTAATGGGACAAGATGGAAAGAAAAATGACATAGGTTTATTTTGCTCCCTACTTGGACAAAAAAAACAAAAAAAAAAAAAAAAAACCCACACACACACACAAAAAAATATTCAAATAAACTTTCAATGTCCTGCCAAAGAACAGGCACCACAAAGTGCCTGCCATCATATTTGTTAGCAGAGTCTTCGTCTCTTTTTGATGCTTGTTTTGCTGTATAGTCACGGACTATCTTCAAGAATCAGAGCCTTGTTTGTGTACGCCCCAATCACTCACCACTGACTGGACAGGAGAACTGGAAGCGGACAAGGCTCAGATCACAAGTTAGGGAGGTCACAACCATAGCGACAAAGTGGAAAAATATCAGAAGGGTGCACACTGAGGTGCACTTCAAGGCTAGCACAGGCAACGTTGTGGCTGTTAGGATGCTTACCACTTTGGGTTAAAAAGGAATTCCGGGCTCAACTCTAATTATTCGTAAAACGGTCTCCTACCCCCTCCTAACCCCGAGGGTTACTACCCTGTGTAAGAAAGATTTGTATACTTAGCTATTTTCAGCACACTCGGGTCACATAATCCAGCTCCCGTGTCAACCAATGCGGTCTCCCGGACCCCGCACTCTCTATTATATCCGCTCTCCCCGGACCCCGCACTCTCTATTATATCCGCTCTCCCCCCGGACCCCCGCTCTCCCCGCACTCTCTATTATATCCGCTCTCCCCGGACCCCGCACTCTCTATTATATCCGCTCTCCCCGGACCCCGCACTCTCTATTATATCCGCTCTCCCCGGACCCCGCACTCTCTATTATATCCGCTCTCCCCGGACCCCGCACTCTCTATTATATCCGCTCTCCCCGGACCCCGCACTCTCTATTATATCCGCTCTCCCCGGACCCCGCACTCTCTATTATATCCGCTCTCCCCGGACCCCGCACTCTCTATTATATCCGCTCTCCCCGGACCCCGCACTCTCTATTATATCCGCTCTCCCCGGACCCCGCACTCTCTATTATATCCGCTCTCCCCGGACCCCGCACTCTATTATATCCGCTCTCCCCGGACCCCGCACTCTCTATTATATCCGCTCTCCCCGGACCCCGCACTCTCTATATCCGCTCTCCCCGGACCCCGCACTCTCTATATCCGCTCTCCCCGGACCCCGCATTCACTATATCCGGTCTCCCGGACCCCGCATTCACTATATCCGGTCTCCCGGACCCCGCATTCACTATATCCGGTCTCCCCAGACCCCGCATTCACTATATCCGGTCTCCCGGACCCCGCATTCACTATATCCGCTCTCCCCAGACCCCGCATTCACTATACCCGGTCTCCCCGGACAACGCATTCACTATATCCGGTCTCCCGGACCCCGCATTCACTATATCCGCTCTCCCCGGACCCCGCATTCACTATATCCGCTCTCCCCGGACCCTGTCCGGAAGGGGGTGGGGCCCTGACAAAGGATGGGATATTGAAGCTTATGGATGATGTCGCGGCTTTTGCCTTCACTAGCCATTGTCTGAACGTGCTTTCCTCTCCCTTGCAGCGCTGCTGGCAGGCACACCACATGACCAGACCAGAGCAGGCTGAAAATGGGTAGGTATACAGATCTTTCTTACACAGGTTAAGCTGGACATACATTATACAATTTCCTTTAGATTTACTTATAACCGTGTAGTGTGAGGGCTTGCCTGATGCAAATTAAAAAAGTGCTTAGTTTTTACCTCATATAGTTTGTTTTTTGGTAAATCTAAAAGGGGAAAAAAAAAAAAAAAAAAAGTACAAGAAAATGGTATAAATGTATGGCTAGCCTTAGCAAGCATAATTGTTAGGATGGGATAGGGGACAGTTTTAAGAGTAGTTAGTGTTAAGCCCGGAATTCCACTTTAACCGCTTCTGCGCCGCCCTTTAGCAGAAATACTGCTACAGGGCGACACAGGTGCGCAAAATCACACGCATACATACACACATGTGATTTTGCAGTTTCGGGTAGGGGGCACCATACCTTCGCCGCCATTTGCGGCCTCGGCTGTCAATCACTGGGTCCCAGCTGGTTATTCCCCACCGGCACCCAGCAATCTCCAAGTATTACCGACGGAGGGAGACCTGTATATAAGCAATACAGATCTCTCCCGTCGGCTCCTGCACACTGATTTGTATGGCGCTGCATAGCAGAGCCACACAAAGCAGTGCGATTACAGTGAAACAAACACACAGCACCCATAGTAAAACAGCACACAGTTAACCCCTCCCTGCCCAGTGTCATTAGTACAGTGTCAGTGCTTTTTATTAGAACTGATCCCTATATTGGTGTCACTGAGGATTTCAGCAACTACAAGTCAGTTACACCCCCCGTGTCAGAATGCCCGCCGCAGGTCCCGCTATAAGTCACTGATTGCCGCCATTACTAGTGAAAAAAAAAAAAAAAAAAAAATTCCAGCATCTATACCGCCATTTGAAAACTCGAACTTTCACGTAAACCAATGAATTTGCACGTATTGGGATTTTTTTTTTTTTTTTTTTTTTTTAGCAAAAACATGGAGCAGAATGCATTTTGCCCTAAATTTATGACGAAATTTGATTTTTTAATTTTTTTTACTGGATATGTTTAACCAATTCAATACCGGGCAATTTTACACCTTCCTGCCCAGGCCAGATTTCAGGTTTCAGCGCTCTCACACTGAATGACAATTGCGCGGTCATACAACATTGTACCCAAACTAAAATTTAATCATTTTCTTCACACAACTAGAGCTTTCTTTTGGTGGTATTTAATCACCGCCGGGGTTTTTATTTTTTGCTAAATTAACAAAAAAAAAAAAAAAACCAAAAATTTTGAAAAAAAAAAAAAGTTTGTGTTTCGGTTATAAAAGTTTGCAAATAAATAATTGTTCTTCCTAAAATTTAGGCCGAGATGTATTCTGCTACATGTCTTTGGTGAAAATAACCCAAATTAGGATGTATTTTTTTTAGTTTGTAGGAAAGTTATAGAGTTCACAAACTATGGTATAGATCTGAAAATTGATCAATCCTGAAGTACTGACAGCCAATCTAATTTCTTGAGGTCAAAGAATGTCAGAAGAGTACAGATATCCCCCAAATGTCAGGACAGTACCGATATCCCCCAAATGACCCCTTTTTGCACAGTAGACAGTCCGACGTACTTCATAAGAGGCATGGCGAGTATTTTGAAGTTGTATTTTTTTTGTCATAATTTTACGGAAAATGAAAAAAAATTAAAATTAGTTTCACTATTTTTTTTTTTACATATTGTCACCAGTGCAGTACAGCGTCATCATATAAGTGGCATGGCGGTGATCAGGGACACTGACTGGTGACAGTATGAAAAAAAAATTTTTTTTTTTTTGAAGATTTTTCATATTTCACTATGACCAAAGTAGTACAATGTTACCATAGTGACATTGTACTACTTTGGGGAAGTGATCAGTATTTTTTTTTTTTTTTATTACAAAATTTGCTTATAGCAAAGAATTACTTTGCTATAAGCAAGCATTTACCTGAATGAAATCGATTCATTCAGGGGTTTTTTTTTTTTTTGTGCTTAGCTGTGATTTGGCCACAGCTAATCACATGACATGTGCATGTGATTAGCTGTGACCATTCACAGCAAGACACTAGTATACAATGGATGGCATGAATGAAGCCATCCATTGTATACAACTGTCATGTGACCTGCTGTGATTGGTCACAGCAGGTCACATGGTACCGGCAACAGGGCCGATACTGAGATCTGTCATCGGCCGTGTCTGAGGTACACGGCCGGTGACAGATCGCGCCGCTGCGCCATATGGCGTCCACCCGGAACGCTGATGACATTTGCCGCACGCCATGCGGCCATAGGGCGGGCGGCAAATGGTTAATAGCAAAAAGTCACAAATAGTTGTTTTTTTTAAAAATGATCAGTTTGTTTATAGCACAAAAAAAACCCCTAAAAAAGCAAAAAAAAAAAAAAAAAAAAAAAACGCAGAGGTGATAAAATACCACCAAAAGAAAGCTCTATTTGTGGGAAATAAAGACAAATTTAATTTGGGTGCAGCGTTGCACGACTGTGCAATTGTCAGTTAAAGTAACGCAGCGCCATATCGCAAAAAATGGCCTGGTCAGGAAGTGGGGTATTTTTCTCACCTGCTTTAATGAGTGGTATAAAGAGCCCCTCAGATCCTCTTCTGAAATACTGAGGTTATTGAGGAGTTTGTCACCACCTAGATATGAGGAAATGGTGTGAGAAGTTTCACAGCACATGCTTTGCAGTTTAAATAAAATCATCAGTGACATCACGGTGTACATACCTGCTGTGCATGCCTATCTGGCTTAAGTTCATGCAGATCCAGCTTGCCTTCCAGCTCCGCAAGCAGCCTCTGAAGCGTCTCGTTTTTAAGCGCATCTGCAACAGAGGTGCAGTCTGGTGTGTGCAGGTCACTTCCTGCCTCGATATGCTTTAATACAGTCGGGCTGACACTAAGAGATGAAAACACAAGAATTTTAGGGCTGTATACGAACAATTCCTTCATAATCCGCCGGTACTGAAACTCATCAATGAAACCAGACTCACCTCAGACATGACTGCACTGGAGGTAGATGATATTTTGGAAGCTCTTCAGGTGGAGGAACGGTGGGGAACCTCTTGACACAATCTTCTTTTTTGGGCCACAGATGATCTGTTTCTTTCTACAAAAACAAGACTCTCCATATTAGTCAACTTCTGCAGTTTTTCCATCTATGGGAAACACACTGAGATATAGAGCACGTTAAATAAAACACGAGCTCATGTGTGATAAGCTAAACAAGTCCCTACCAAATCCAGTTACTGTGTGACGCAAAAGCCTAATAGATTTATAAAAAAATACATGAAAAAAAAAAAAAAAAAAAAAAAAAAAAAAAAAAAAAGTCATTTACCTCCTAAGAGAAACTCAAATCCTTCATTTAGGCCTCACACACTTTGCCCTACTGGCCACTGTAGCTCACAGTGGGAGGGTTTCAGCAGAGGAGACATGCTGCCAATGAAGAAAGCAGTGGACTAATGCAGGCCATAGATGGGTCAAAACAAACATCGGACAATTTTTTTGGGAAAAAAAAAACAAACAAAAAAAAAACAAAAACAACACAACACTCGTTCGTTTGGCCAACGTTACCACCAACAATGGGGAAAAAAAAAATAAAAAAAATTGGCCGACTAAATAATAAAGTTCACCCCATAACTCTGTCCCTTGCAGCTCACGCGCCGATTTTTTCATCGTTAAAACGATCGGCCAATTTGGCCATCATTGCCAGGAAAATCAGCTGATCGTCCAAATCAGCCGCAAATTTTCCAACATGACCGATAAATGCAAAACCCCGAAAAACGGCCCGACCAATTAACCCACTAACAGTGCAAAAGTCGTCCGATTATTTTTTTTCGGCCGAAAAATCGGCCAATTTTTGAACAGTCTATGGCCGGCATAAGTGTGGTCAGGTGCGGATTGGCAAACTACAGGTTTCTGAATCAGCAGTGACAATGTCGATTGCCAAGCCCCTTACAACCTCTTTTTATCTTACTTTATTGCAAACAGGCAGGGCCTGATGATTGAAAACTCTATTCTCATTTCAGGATCAGTGCATCTGTGTTGCAACCCCATCACAGAAAGCTGCATGAGGAAAATTTCACGGGCAGGCTAAGTTGGGGAAAGAACGAACATTTAAGTGAAGATGCCTTTACAATTAAAGTGATTGTATAGGATTACATTTTTTTTTAACCACTTCCCAACCGCCCTATAGCAGAAGTACTGCCACAGGGCTGCACAAAATCATATATATATATATATATATATATATATATATATATATATATATATATATATATATATATATATATACTCTCTCAATAGCTCACCCTGGATGTGAAAGCTCGCAAAGCTAGGAGAAAATGACCTAAGAAAGATCTTAATTGGCCTACACATCCAAAACAGTTGTAGAGGATATAATGGGCATCAGATATCATCTAGGCACAATGGGATAGACAAAAAGATTAATTAAATTTAAACGGAAGATATGAAGAGATAATTCAATAGGTTGAGGGACGTGTAGGCCAATTAAGATCTTTTTTAGGTCATTTTCTCCTAGCTCTGTGAGCTTTCACATCCAGGGTGAGCCATTGAGTCCCACATATATGTATATAAAATACCTTGTATTGGATATATTAAAGTTGTTTGGTAATTGAACAATTTTCCTTTCATATACCTTTAGACTGCCTTGGCGGTAGAAATTTCCTCAAAAAATCTCCCCTGAAGAAGCCCATGAGGGCGAAACATGTAGGGAGTAACTACATTTACCTAACCAAGTTTGAATCTCAGTTGGTATTCTTAGGAAAAAAATACAGAAACGTAAAAAACAATTTCAGTTTTGTTTTTTTTTACAAAAATACAAAATAAAAATTATATAACTTTTAATGTGTGGTATTCATGTCCATGCACCCTGAAAGTCCCATCTTCTCTATTGAATACCATTAGAAAATGTTATTTACTGTTTTAATAGACGATTTTATTTTAGACACAAATTCAGCACCACTAATCTTTACTAAGCCACAAATCTGCAAATAGATTAATTTATAAAGCACTGAAATTTTCTGCAATGCTCTGCAGACCGTGCATTTTCCTTCCTTTCCCCAATCAAATCCCATTTGAAAACAAGGAGTCTAGAAGTCTGGGTACAGTATACTATGCAGAAAAAAAGGATATATTCTTACTTACATCAAACATGGCAGCATCTTTGTCCCAGACTCTGATGATAGAACGTGGCACTGGAGGGCGCTGCAGGAACACAGTCTGATTTGCTTGCTGTTCTATATTCACAGATGTCATGTATGCTGATGACGTGTCTTCACCAAACTAAAAAGAAATGTAAGTGCCTACTAATAAACCCATACAGGCACAAACATTCAACACCAGGGCAGAGTACATAGATATGACAAAGGCAAACTTAAACCCTAAAGCTGAGCTCCAGCCAAAAGGAAAATAATATTAGCTAGATATTTACAAAAACTCCATCCATATAATTTTACATGACAGTTTTGAGTATTTTTTTTCTCCTTCAAAACAGGACTCTTACCCCAGCCTTTCAGGCTGTGCAACCAAGCGCATGTTGTGCATTCCCATTGGAACACAGAAAATGTAGTGCATATATACCCCATCAGATGTAATGTGGGGCTTGTATAAATCCACTGTACCCAGATCCCAAAAAAAAAAAAAAAAAAAAAAAAAATTTTTTATATATATATATATATATATATATATATATATATATATATATATATATATATATATATATATATATATATATATATATATATATATATATATATATATAAATAATTATTATTTTTTTTTTTTTTCTGTTTTCACCTGGTGATCTGACCAGTAACACACCTCCTGGAATGCCCCCACTCTGGATGAAGCAGCACAGCAGTGTACGTCTGGGTGGGCAGGGAGGGGAGTGATCGTGCATCTAAATCTTCTACTAAATCCAACATTAAAGCCAAACTCCAGCTAACACTTTACAAGCCGTAAAAGCAATTTTTTTTCCTTTTGGGATAAAGGGTTTACATGAAAAAAAAAAAATAAAAGCTGATCATTGTAAGCACCCCTGCCATAAATGGTTTGCCTCCTCCCTGTAAACTGATACATCTGAAAGAGAGCTTGCTCTTTTGAAAAACACTGTAGATCACTAGATGAAAATAAAAGTAAAAGATTAAAAACAGAAAACAAATGCAGCCACCACATTTAAAGTGTTACTAAACCCCAGACCCTGCATTCACTATATCTGGTTTCCCCACAGTACACACAACATGGAAATGCATTTATTTTAGTAGAGCTAAACCGCTAAATACCTATTCAAATCAGTAGTATATAGCAGTCATGTGACTAATATCAGTGTCCAGCTGAGCACTGGTTAATCTTGTAGGGAGTTTTCATTCTGCGCTGACTGTCCTATGAGGTTTAGGACCCTGATCCTCTGTCTGGACAGTGCGGATTGGTCCTGTGCCGATCACATGCACCCTCCCAAAGAAAAAATAAAAAAACAAACTCTCCAGCAATGCACACTAAACTGAGCATGTGCAGAGTGACTCCTGGAGCTCTGTACTATCAGAAGGATTGGGGACAGAAAAAGGATCAGAGAAGACAGGATCAGACAGCCTTTTTACACAAAGCGGAGGATTAACCCCTTAGGTTCCACAGTGAGTATAACAAGCATTTACTGCATCTACAGACTGATTGTACTGTTGTGGGTTTAGTAACAATTATATTGCGGTTGACCAATCCGAAGAGTCTTCTTTTGGGTTTAATACTGCTTTAAGCTGTTAAAAAATAATCCAATCACAGTAATAAATGACTGTACTGCTCTGTGTCAATGGCAGGGGTTAACCAGAGTGGAACAACTCAAGGTGTGATTGAGGCATGTTAGATGCAGTTACATAACTGGAGGTGTGGCACTGCTGGGTCAAAGATAATGGAGTACTGTAGGTTACTGATAAGTGATGTAGCTGGCCTGCACCTTTGTTTAGCGAAGGTTGTTCCAAGCAGATCGCCCAATTCCCCCGCTGTCAAAACCTATACCTTACCCTTAAAAGTTAGCCCTAGTCCTTTAGAAAGACTACCGGAGGAGCAAATCCTGCTTTGTTTAGCCACTCATTTACTGATCTGTTTTGACTCCCCAGATCTGCGTACTCCATACTGCACAGTGTTCCATAAAACACTGAACCAGTGCAGAATGCTCCTGCGCTTGGGGATGGACTCGATGCTACAACCACATAAGGAATGTCCTGGAACATGCACACCTTGCTGCCCTCAAATGGACAGGGGAAATCCAAATATACTGAATGAGGAAAGAAAAAACAGAGGGCGCACAGGCCTAGTGCATTACCATAAAAAATGTTTAATAAAAAATAAAGTATGTGTTGTACTCACAAACGACAATATAGTCAAGGCACATCATAAAGAACAGCTGGATCAACACAGTGGCTCTGAGGAAGAGGCAAGTCCTCGAAACGCGTCAGCCTTTTGGATGTCTATACTCCCTATTGCGAACTGATGCGTTTCGAGGACTTGCCTCTTCCTCAGAGCCACTGTGTTGACCCAGCTGTTCTTTATGATGTGCCTTGACTATATTGTCGTTTGAGTACAACACATACTTTATTTTTTATTAAACATTTTTTATGGTAATGCACTAGGCCTGTGCGCCCTCTGTTTTTTCTTTCCTCATTCCATTAAACACTGCCTGCTTTCTGCTATAGTGCTGGATTTTATTGGTGTACAAGATTCGGATTGTGCTCTTAGCTTTGAGAATACATGGATGGCCCATAGAATTGAGC